CACCCCAACTATCTTCCCCAGGGAAAGGCAGCTCAGCCAGGTCCCCCACACTCTGGCTCTGCCTGCATCTCCCCTGCTCAGGATCCCCAACAGCTTCTCTACCCGCTCGGTACAATTAAGGCAGGGCATGGCAGGGCGTCCCCTGTCCTTCCCCACAGCCTCTCCTCCCAGACCTCTCAACTCCATCCTTCCCAGTGCTGTCCACCCCACACCTGCCCTTAGAGGGATTTTTCAATGCCCTAACCTCTTTCTGGCTCTAACACACTCAATGGCTCCCCATTGCCCCCAGGAGGGAGTCTGGAATTTCATATCCAGCGTTTGCTGTCCTGAGGGTCCCTGTGGTCTGATCAGGACACACACTATTCCCTGTCAACCTCCAGAGCCTCTTAATCTCTGCATCTTTGCTCCTGCCCTGAGTGCCTTTCGTTCACTTCAGCCCTTTCACCGTGTCTTTATTGCCTCCTTCCCACAGCCTGGGAGCTCCTGAGGGCAGGGAACAACAACAACAAAATCACAAAATAATATTAACCAGTCCTCATTCTGGGCACACCTGCTACGTTAAGCACTTTCCTGCATCCTCTCAGTCAGTCTTTGGAACTGTCCATCAAGGTGGGTATCATGAGTCTATCTGATTTAAAGATGAGGAAACCCAGGTTCAGAGTGGACCTATCATTTGCCCAAGGTCAGCAAACCAAGAATAACAAAGGCCCTTCTTCCTGCTTCTTCCCATGGTTGACTCCTGCTCTTTCTTAAAGTCTTAGTTCAGTTGTTACCTCCCCCTGGAAGCCTCCCTGGACCCCCAGGTGTGGTCACATGCCTAGTCTGGGCTCTCACAGCCCCCTGCGTGTTCCCCATCACAGCCCTAACTCGGGTGCCTATGCATGTGTGCCAGACCTCTGCTGAGCCCTCTGTGTCCTCAGAGTTCGACAAATCTCTATATCTGGTGCTGTGACTGCACCTATCTTCCAGATGAAGCAACTGAGGCTCCAAAAAGCGGAGTTTCCTCCTGCCAGGAATGATATGGGGCTCACTACCCTCAGGGCAGCAGCAGATCAGGCCAACACCCTCCTCAACCGCACATACCCACATACACGTGTACACACAGGCTCACACCAGGAGTTTATCTGCCCAGCCGCCCCCCTCCCACCATGCAAGCAACCAGGAGGAACGGGGACAACGGAGGCAGAAGACTGAAGTTGTTTTTGGGTCTTCCCACCCCACCTTCCTTCTACCTCCCTGCTGGGGGTCGCCCGCCAGGGCCCTGTGACCCTGACCTCAGGTCAATCCCGTTCCCCCGAGGTGATGCCAGTCCCCGACCCTCAGTGCCCTTGGGAAAGTTACGTGAGCCCTCCAGGCTTGGCCCGCAGTGGGGGCTCCAGCAAAGTTCGTCCCCTCATCCTGTCGCCCTCTGGGTCCGCCCACCCACTCCCTTTCTTAAGTGGCCTTTGGAGGGGTCTCGCCCGATAGACAAGAGGGGCTGGGGACAGGTGGATCACGGGTACGTGGGAGTTACGCCTGGGCTTGAGGTATGGACGGTGTTCTGGTCACCACCACCACCGGTCCCCCAAAGCGCCTGGGCAATGGGTAAGTCGGCAGGCAAGGGGTTCGCGGAGGCTCCTGGAGAAAAGGTTTCCTCCTTCCTCATCTTCCTTCCCGCCACCGAAATCCCATTGCGCAAGGCAGAGGCCCAGGGAAGGAGGGTCACTTGCTCTGGGTCACACAGCCCGGTGGAGTGTAAAGTCTGATTTCAGGGTGCAGGTGACGCTTGGTGGTTCTGAGGTGACTTGGACCTGGGACTCTAAACTGCACTCAGATCCCGCCCGTGGGGCGACTCATTCAGGGAACGAGAAGGCGCCGCTCTCCCTCCTGTGAGCAGAGTATGCCCCCTGCCGGGAATGGTCGGAATCGGCGCAGCCACGACCCCCGGGACCAGGACCGAGCCCCCATACCCGCTAAGCTCCCACTCGGGATAGAGCCCCCGACACCAGGCTGAGCCCCAATTCCGAGCTGAGCCTCTGCCCCCAGATTGAGCTCCTTCTCTGTTCCTCACTGGGCTCAGGAGTCCCTCAGCTCCTTGGACAGCTGGGGCAACCCTACTCAGAGTGTCCCAGGTTCTAATCCCACCTCTGTTGCGACCTGGCTGAGTGGCCTGGGACAGGTCACTTGCTTCCTCTGAGCCTCAATTTTATCATCTGTGAAGTGGAACACTTGTAGCCCCTGGGTTACACTGTGAGGGTTCAGTGAGTTTATTTATGTAAAATGCTATCTGTGACTGGCACATATTAGGTGCTCAATAAATACTAGTATAATATTGTTGCTATATTATCACCAGATGTGTTGCTGGGCACTTAAAACAAAAAAACAGCTTTATTGAGACATACAACTCACCCATGCAATCCACCCAGTTAAAGTGTACAATTCAGTGTTTTGGTATATTAAATTATTCATTTCTAAAATTGTAGGAAATATATAACATGTAGTCTACCACTTTAACCATTTTTAAGCACACAGTTCAGTGGCATTAAGTATTAATATATTCACACTGTTGTACAACCGTCACCACCGTCCATCTCCAAAACTTTCTCATCTTCCCAAACTGACACTTTGTCCCCATTAAACACTCACTCCCCTCCCCTCCCCCAGCCCTTGGCTCCCACCATCTACTTCCTGTCTCTATGAATCTGACTCCTCTAGGGACCTTATATAAGAGGAATCACACAGTATTTGTCCTTTTGTGTATGGTTTATTTCACTGAGCATAATGTCCTCAAGGTTAATTCATGTTGTACCATGTGTGTCAGAATTTCCTTCCTTCTTAAGTCTGAATAATAGTCCATTGTCTGGATGGACCACATGTGTTTATCCATCATCTGTGAATGGACACTTGGGTTGCTTCCACCCCTTGGCTGTTGTGAGTAGCACTGCTATCAACATTATTGTACAAATATCTGTTTGAGTCTCTGCTTTCAGCTCCGTTGGGTAGATACCTAGGAGTGGAATTGCTGGGTCATATGGTAATTCTACGATTAACTTTTTGAGGAACCACTGAACTTTTCCACAGAGGCTGCACCAACTTACATTCCCACTATCAATGTTCAAAGGTTCTAATTTCTTCACATCCTCATGGGCACTTTTTATTCGTTGTCTTATTTGTGGATCTGTAAGGTTTATTATTCCTGTATCACAGGTATGGAAAACAGGCTCAGAGAGATGAACACATGTAGGCAGATATTGACAATGCCAGGACGGAACCCACCTGGGTCACACTCTAAGCCTGCCCATGCCCATGCCCACTGGGGACTCACGGAAACATTCTGCTCTGGTTTGATGAGGTGTTAAAAACAGCTCCTTCTGCCTCTGTGACCCTCATTAGCTACCATCATCCAAGTAAGGGGTCTCCATAATTTGAGGTGGGGCATGACAAAATGAATCTATAACAGTAGGTCTCAACCACACGATTCTGCCCCCCAGGGAACACTTGACAATGACTGGAGACATTTTTGGTTGTCATGATTTGGGGTGTGTGTGTGTGTGTGTGTGTGTGTGTGTGTGGCTACTCTGGCATTGAGTGGGTGGGGTCAGGGATGCTGCTCAACACCCCACAGTACACAGGATGCCCCTCTTACCCCCACAAGCAGGAATTATCAGCCCCAAATGTCAACAGTGCTGAGAATGAGAAACCCTGAACTAGAGACAGAGAGTAGGACCTAGCTGTGGGTGGAAGGAGGTGGGCCAGGCAGTCCTGGGGTTGGATCCTGACCCTGCCACTTGTGCCTGCATATCCCCAGGCAATTCACTTTCCCTCTCTGGGCCTCAGTTTCCCCCTCAAAAATGGGATAAAGAGACATTTCATTTATTTTTGCTTCATGAGGTCTGTGCCAGGGTTGTGTGTCCCCCATGTGCAGCACAGGACTAGGCATTCACCAAACATTTGTTGCCTGCCTGCTCTGGCCTTCCTTGGCTCTATCTGCAACTGGGACCCCAGGTTGGGGCTTTGGGGAGGAAACGGAACGGCAGGGGGGCTGGGAGCCTCTCCTGGGCCCAGTTCCCAGGACTCACAGCTGCATCCTCTGGTGGGGGTACCCAGCTGGCCCTGCGGCCCCACCCGCTGGCGGCCAGGAGGCTTATTCCCACGGAAATTGAGTATGGATCTGGGAGTCCCCTGGTAGGGTCTCCAGGGCCTGTCCACTCAGCGACTGCCTCAAAACCTCACCCCAAGAATTTATCAGCAGCCAAGAAAGATTGATCTTCAACCCTGGGTCAGATTCAGAGCGTCTGGGGGTAGGGAAATCTGCATTTTTACGGGGCTCCCAGGTGATTCTGATGTAAAGGGTTCCCGGGGCCGTACTTTAAGAAACAAGCTCTGTGCAAACTTCTGTTACCCAGGTGGGTAATCTGAATCTCAGAGGGAGGAAGGGGCCTGTCCAGAACCGCAAGGTTGGTCTGTTTTTCTTTTCGGCTCTGCCTTCCTCTCTTCCCCCGGGTCTCTGTTTTTGACTCTCTCCTTCTTCCCCTTTTCTCCGCAGGGCTCCAGGGCAGCCGTGCACCCCAACATCCGGCCCCTTTTGAGATTCCCGAGGAATTCCCCGAGCCGCCCGCCTGCGGCAGTGAGCTGCTCCCATTGGCTTCTTCGTACACCGCCCGCCCTACTATTGGCTGAGACCGTGTTTTCGGCCCACCCTCTCCCCATCCGGCCTCTCTCAGCTCCTTTCTTCGTGGGAGGGGGCAGAGCGGGGCTGGGGCCTGCGGAGGGGCGGGGCTATAGGGGCGGGGTTGAGCTTCCCGCCCCGCCCCGCGCGGTTATTAGGCGCGAGTCAGGAGGCTGGCTCAACGGCCCCTCGGAGGCAACGGGACAGAGCCCCGAAGGTCGGACCTACGACGGGCCCTGGAGAGCAGGTGACAGAGCGATGCCGGGCGCATTTCGGGAGCCACCTGGCCGCCCTCTGTCTATCTCTCCTCCCGCCCCACCCCTGCCTGTGAATTCCTGCCTGAATCTCCTTCTCCCCCTCTGGCCCTCGCCCTGTTTCTCCCTTTCCCTCTGTCTCTCTGGCACTCTCTTGCTGTATGGGTTAGGGGGAGGCACAGTGAGTCTGAAATGCCCCCCAGCGTGGGGTCGGTTTTCTGGGATCAGAGGCCCCCCACCCCACCATGGGGACTCGGATGGACTCTGCCCTTTTAACCGTGCAGGGCGCCAAGTGCTAGAGCCAAATTTCAGAGTCAGGAGGACATTTCAGGTGGTGGGTGGGCAGCCCAGCTAAAAGCGTGGAGGTGGAAATGAGTGTGGCTTCCGACTGGTCCAGGTTGTTGGGAGAGCCAAGGCAAGGCCCACCCAGACTGGCCATATGGGAGTTTCCCAGTGGCCTGAATGAAGCCTTAGCCTCAATTTTTTCAGCTGTGAACTAGGACTGTCACCTGCTAAGGTAATTGGCAGGTAGCTGTCCCATATCTGCAAGCATCACCACCTCCTCTATCCTGGGGGCTCTTCTGGAGGAGGTACAGCGCCAGGGGTAAACAGGCCTCCTGAGTATGTCTGAGCCCAGCTGAGGAAGGTGAAGGCCCTGAGAGACTGCAGCTGAGTGAGGGCAGTTCAGCAAGTGGTTGGGAGTTCAGATCTTGGAATTAGAAAAACCTGGGTTCCCACTCGGCTACTCACCATGGTGCCTTGAACAGGTAATTCGATTCTCCCAGGCTCAGTTTCCTGTCTGTATAATGGGGTGGGACATAACTCCCTGGGGATAAGGGCTGCTTCCAGGGTTAAGTGCAGGTATGATCACCCTGCTTGTCTCCTCCTATCCCTCACCAACTCTTACTCTCCCCTTCATTCACTGCTCTAGCTGCAGCAGCCTCCACATTCACACATCTGTCATGGTCTTGCCTCAGGGCCTTTGCACAGGCTGTTACCTCCATTGCCATGCTAGGCCTGTCAGCGGCGCCAACTTTAAAACATAACAACTTGCCTAGATGGGCTGGGCCAAGGAACTGCCAGACAAGGGCTGGGTGGCTGGGAGGGGCGGAGGAGGGGCCAGCCCAGGGACGCTGTACCTATGGAAACTGGAACAAAGAGCTGTCGCCTCAGCTACACAAACACCTGGGCTGTGCTTCTCTCACTTGTGGGACACACAGTAGTGGGTGAGTCTCCAGATCCCTGGGGGGGCAAGTGTGGGGCTCTACCCTGCTTTGATGGGGTGGGGGGATGGGATGGGGGGGGGCAGGCCATAGGTCTGCCTATAGACTAAGAGATTAGGTAGGTGCAGATTTGAAGCCCTGTGGTGTCCCCTACTGCTGTGTGGCCTTGGGTGTGTCAGGTGTCCCCTGAGCCTCAGTTTCCTCATCTGAGGCCTGGGCAGGGGAGGGGCCTTTTGCTTGCTTGGCATTCTGATGAGGTGGATTCAGGAGGCTTCAGTGTCCCTGTCAAATGAGAGGATGCCACAAGAGGATGCCTAGGACAAAACTCTGCAGCGGTTCTCAACCTTTCACAGGGGTCGCCTAAGACCATCGGAAAACATATCTTCAATGGTCTTAGGAACCGAGACACCGCTCCTCTATCCGTCTCCAGGTCCACATGCAGATACGCCCACATACGAGTACCTGGCGACCCCTGTGAAAGGGTCGTTCGACCCCCAAAGGGGTCACGACCCACAGGTTGAGAACCGCTGCATCTAGCGATTGTCATGGAAACAGCCCCACCCAGAGGCAGATGTTGAATAATGACTCATGCTTGTCTGGGTTCAGCGCCAGGTGTTACAGATGGAGAGGTGGGGGCCTAGAGCTAACAGGACTTGGCCCGGTTGCACAGCATGCACACCTCCCCTGGGATCCTCTACACCCCTCCACGAGACTTCCACTGGAATCCCACCCTCCTGAGCTTTCACAGAGGCACCTCTGGCTGAGTCCTTGAGATCTTCTAAAGCCCTGTCCTCCAGGCCTCAGTTTCCCCTTCTGTTTAATGGGGTGGTAGAGGTTGGGGAATGTCCACCTAGGGATATCTCTGTCTCTCTCTGGGCGTTTCCCTAGCTGAACAGTGGGGTTCTTGAACGAGATCTCTCTGCCCCTCTGGTACTGAGAGATCATTTATTCATTCAACCAACAAGTTCTGAGCACCTACTGTGAGCCAAGATTGGGGATTGGGAGAGATAGCTTTTCATCCAGAAAAATCAGCCGTTCATCCAGAAAAGTCATCACACTTAATTGTAACTGCATGAAGATGATGGCGAGTCAGATGGATGGGGAAGTTAGTTTAAATGGGGGTTCTGGGAGGGCCTCCTGAGGCCCTGAGCTGAAGCCTGAATGACAGCAAAGAAACAGCCATGTGGATGCCTGTGGGGAAGGGCATTTTGTGCAAAGACTGCGCAAGGCGGGAGCAGAGTGAGCAAGGGGGAGAGAGGGAGGAGGTGAAGGCAGGCAGGGGACAGGGCAGGTCGTGCAGGGCCTCGTGGAGGATTTGGGCTTTAACCCAGAAGAGGTTGGGGACCCTGAAGGGCAAAGGAGGGGTGGGACCTGACTCAGGTGCTCAGAGGCGCCCTCTCGTGGCTGCTCCAGAGAGGACAGACATGAGGGACCAGAGGACCAGGGCAGAGGCAGTGGAGAAGTGAGAAGTGGGTAGAACCAGGACTCAGGGGTGCACCCACATTCCTGCCATGTGACCCTGAAGCCTCCATTTGCTGTTAAACATCTTTTGCTCAGCCTGAGTCCCAATCTGTCCTGTCCTTCCCTGCATTCTGTTGGGCAGCTGCCTTCCAAGATCCATGCTTGGCCCCCAAACTCTTTCTTCAGTGGAAATCTCACCACAGTTGAAAGTGTCCTGGCTTACTGCAGCCTGGCAGGTGGTCAGACCCTGCCCATCCTTGGGGTGGCCCCGAAGGGCTCTGGGAAACCCACCTTGAGAACCGCTGGTATCTCCCCCACCTCTGGCAAGCAGACTCCCCTCTCCTTTTGGCCATATCTAAAATGGGCACTGGCTGAGCCATCTGAATGATGGTTAACAAAGGGCTCAATGCAGTGGGTGCCCTGATGTTGGAATTGTGTGGGCACAGGGACTGGGGGGGTCATTTGCCACAGTGGACAGAGGCCTCGGGCCCTCTGAGGCCACCCTGGGCCATTGTAGCCAGGGCCAAGAGAGGGGAGATGGAGCCGCTGGCTTGGCTCTGCCAAGCGGGCCCATCAATTATTGACACCCTTTGTGTGGGACATGAAGAATTCATGTGGGGGCGGGCTGCCCGTGGACCAGTGGCATGCTGGAGCCCGCTCACACCAGCTCACAAGAGCCACTTGCTGTATTTTCAGGAGTTTTGCCATTTAATAATTTTGTCATTATTAAAAATGGCAGACTATGAATTTACTGTTTAATACATTATATTTAAAACAAGGATATGGACTGTTATTCAGCCATAAAAAGGAGTGAAAAGCTGACACTTGCTACATAATGTGGATGAATCTTGAAAACATGATGCTTAGTGAGAAAAGCCAGACATAAAAGGTCATATAGTGTGTGATTCCATTTACGTGAAATGTCCAGAACAGGCACATCCACAGAGACAAAGTGGATTGCCAGGGGCCGGGGGAAGAGGGGAATGGGGAGTGACTTCCAGCTACTAGTCGGAGCTGGAGTGTCCAGAATGGGGACGGGGACAAAGGTTGGAGTCCAAAAGATGAAATGGGGTTGTCAGAGGGTGAAAGTCCGAGGTGTGGATCAGGGTCCGGAGTTCTGGGGTAGAATGTGGGGGCAGGAGTAGACAGCCACTCAGTGCCTGGACACCCATTCGCAGATAGGAAAGCTGCCCCTAGGGGTGTGGGGCTTGTCTGGAGTCACTTTGCAGGGGCTGTGGACAGGCCTGCGGCCTTCTTGCTATTCCTCCAACACGCCAGACACAGCCCTGCCCCAGGGCCTTTGCACAGACGTCAATCTGCCTGGCTCACCTTTCCCCTAGACCTTGTCCTTTCAGTCCCAGCTCCAGGGGTTCCGCCTCAGAGAGGCCTTACTGACCACCCCAGCTCAGGTCACCTGCCTTGTTCCTGGCTATCACTCCCCTCCATGCTCCCATGGCCCTTATCTCTCCTTGAAATTATCCTGTTTATTTCTGTGTTCACTGGTTTCCGATACCTCCTCCTTCCAACGTGGTGACAACATCTCTTAGGTTCGGTTTTGGAAATTTGGAGGGCTTTTATTTTTTTGCTTGTGATAATAGCAGGATGTTCTGGCATTTGGGGACAGGGACAAGGGACACTAGGCATCCAGCCATGCTCAGGGCAGCCCCCACAACTTCCTAACATCCTGCCAAAAACAAGCCAATGAGTGGGGTTTCTGCATGGTTTTAATATTTGGTGACTATTTCTGGGTGAATCAAGTAGAGATGAAACTCTCTTTTGATGCGAATTTATAGCTATCAGTTCACTGCAATGCCCCATATGGGGTGAACCCCTTATAGATTTGCTCCATCCCCAAGTGTTGTGAGTCTGAGCTGATCAGGAGGGAAATTCTTTGTAATCAAACATGTTGAGAACCTACTGAGTGCCTGGCAATGCGATGTGATTTACAAAACTCAACTATGGAATCCTTTTACTTTCTGTTTGTATTATAGTTTGGTGAAAATCCTGATTTAAAACTTTTAAAATTCATTTAACGTTATAAAGATGAGGTACTATATATATATATATATATATATATATATATATATATATATATAT